TGCTTCTGTATTTCAAAGGTCAAAAAGTTCTTTTAGAGTATTTGACTTTTTCTAAATGAAGCAAGTATTTTTAGCTCATATTCTTCCGTAATAATACAAAAATGTGGCCGCTTTTCCCATTGAGCTTGTAAATCTTAGCTGGTCTGGGACACATTTGGAGTCACAGCTTTTTCTGCACTGTAAGTAAAACGGACGGTCCCAGCGTGGTCTGAAGGGGACTTTCCAGGACGGTTTATAAGGGAAAACTCAAGTTCGCCTGCTTTATACAGTGGACTTACATGGACCGGGATCTAGCCATGAGCCACTGGTCCTTTTATCTTTCTCTCCTCTTACTTAAATAGCAGTATCATTTCCCACTGGGCAAAAAAGACACTTCAAGATAATATACATATGATAGTTAAAGTATTTTGGCCCCATATGAAATCAGCATTTTGATTCACATCGTTTAGAAAAATAAGGAGAAAGGCAGTAGAAGTCAGTAGTCTGGAAACATTTAGAATATTTCTGGGTTACTGAATTCTTAGGGTATCCAAGAAAAATCAAAGCATTTGTCTCCACAAAGTCAAAATTTGGAGCAACTCCAATGTCTATCAATAAGTGAAAAGATAATCACAGGACAGCTCTACAACGGAATACTAGGTAATAAAAAGGAAGAATGAAAGAACATGAGTAAATCTCAAAATAATCGTGACAGGTGAAAAATTATGACTCCATTTATAGAAAGTTCTACAAAACACAACATCAACTTTAATTCCTTCCTTGAGGCAATTTGTCTCTAGTGAGCACGGCGACACATGGCCTGTGACTGAAGGTTTGCTTGTTTTTCTCTGGGTCATCGATTTGCTTAAGTTAGGTTAGTTTAGTGAACTAGAAATCCAAATTTAGAAATGGAGAGTAACTCTAAAAATATACATCTTATAATAAATAGTTTGTCTTAGTGACAGCAGTGTATGTCCACAATTTTAAAAACAGAGGAGAGAAAAGCCCTTTCTTGTAGATGTTCAAGACCGGCCTTGCTCTACCCTGCTTCCCAGCTCAGCTTCTAGCAGCCACAGAATGTTTCATTATGTCTGCAGGGATTTTAAAACATTTAGCCAATGTTTAAAATGCTTTCTGTTTTGTAATGTACGTGCCATTTTACCAAATTATCTTCAACTTCAGAACATTTTTTACTTAAAAAATGTGTACACACGGATCTGGGGACTGTTTGGCACTGAACTCTGAAAGATGATCTCCAGAACAGACTTGCAGTTTGCTGTTTCCCGCACTATCCTGGCATTCAACACTCTTTCTGACAGATCTCTAGAATCAGGTCTTCTATAATTTGTATTAATTATAATGTCAATTAAAGTAATAAACTTTATTTTAACATTCTTCAAGTTACAGAGACCTTAATAAATAAAACAGATGAGATAACCTATCAGAGTATGTGGGTGCGAGGCTTATAGAGTTTCCAACATGCTTATTAAAAATAAAATACGAAATTTTTTATTCACAAGAAAACACCTAAATGAATTTACAGTTTATTCAATATTAGGATTTGAAGAAGAGGAGCGACGATCTCAGGAAAAGTTAACTGGACTCTGAAACAGCTTTTCTAGTGTCTGCTAACAGGAAAGACAATTTGGAGGAACAAAAAGCCAAATTCTTTACTGTTATTAAATTCAGGGGAAACAAGTTTGATGGCCATTGTTCTCACGTGGCCCTGAACAGTGGTATTATATCGCTCCATTTGGCCAAAACTATGGACACCCAACCCTCTTCATCACTGCAGGCTAACCCTCCACATGAACACGATGGGCTTCATCACTCGCTGACCCAGCGACTGACCCTGACGTGTATTTATTACTACCCATTAGGAATGACAACTAATACTCATTAGTTGCAAAATATTTGCAGCTATCCTTTCTATGAAGACTAAAGCAACTATTTGCTCAGAAATTAACTTAAGCTATCTAGACACAGCAGTCTTGTTTCTACGTTCTGAGTCGTTTCAAGAATCCCGAGAAGGCCAATGAGGATGGGTTCTGACCCAGGCCTTACGAAGGAACGAGAGGATCAAGAGGGAAGGGGGCATGCTCGTGAGCAGAATCAGGGCAAAAGGAAAGAAGAGTGCTTGCAGCCGGAGGGGGGAGGGGGAGGGGGGAGAGGAGGCTACTGACACAGCTGGGGGGCGGGGGCAGGAGGCTATGGAATCCCACTTCATCTCACCATGTCCGGGAACCACATTCTCAGGACAAGAGAAGGTAAAAACATTCATTCACACTCAGGGGACACTATCTTTCTCAAAGTGTCTTGTTTCACAAGACCTTGAAACAGAAACTGTGATGCATTCCTAACTTTCTGTAAAGGTCTCCCAATTTACAAAGAGGTAATTGATATATTAGAAAGAGATACAACTAGAAAATTGAGCATTAAAGGCTCAGCCTCCGGGAGCAAAGATGAAGTTGATAGTTTCAAAAAGTTTCTTCTGAGAACAGAAATAGCTTTTGAGGCATAAAAGCAGTGATCAAAATGAAATTAAAAATTTTAAGTTCTCTGAAGACAAGTTTTTCTAAAATTCTGCAAACAAACCCTAACAAATTAAGATGATAATTTTCACCTTTAACTAAGATATACTAAAGCCTTTAAAGTGGTCTTACTTTTTCCGAATTCTGCATTAACCTCTCCCATACTGATGTCAGTTTATGTGACCAGAACACAGATCTGTGTAGTTAATCCTATTTGGAAAAAATTGAAAGACAGCTTTTGAAATGACTACTTTCGTAAACATTTTGAAGTTTGGTACCCTCCCACATCCCACAGCATCTGAAGTATATAATTACATATCTAATTATAGAGTAATGACACTGATTTCATGTTGCTTGTTAACTCATGTGCACTAATTCCTATTAGAAAAGTAAAATAAAACTTTGAACAGTGTTTGGCACTCAAATATTGGATCCGCCCCCCATTCTCCATTACTCCTTTGTACATTCTGTTCCTTGAGACTGGAAAGCTCTTCCTGGCTTCCCTGGTTATCGTGGCAACCCTCTTTAAGCCATCTTCACTTTGGAGAAGACCCCTCTTTGAAATCATTCCTGGTACCCCCCTGAAGGCCATCCAGAAAACAGGGAAGAACACGAATGCTTGGTTGACACAAACACCACCACATTCTGTGTTTCTGGGCCACTGCAAACTTAACCCCATACCAAATGTGGTAACATTCACTGACATCCCAACTGCCAGGTAAACACATTGACAAGTAAAAACTTATACAACAAATCAATGTTTCATTCTCCAACATATCCAAAGTCAATTTTGAAAAACCTCTTTCAGGGGCGCCTGGGTGGCTCAGTCGTTAAGCGTCTGCCTTCGGCTCAGGTCATGATCTCAGGGTCCTGGGATCGAACCCCGCATCGGGCTCCCTGCTCAGCCGGGAGCCTGCTTCTCCCTCTCCCACTCCCCCTGCTTGGGTTCCCTCTCTCTCTGTATCTCTGTGTCTCGAATGAATAAATAAAAAAAATCTTAAAAAAAAAAAAACCAAAAACCTCTTTCAGATTTCTTGTTCTGGCTTAAATAAATCTAAGGAATCAACTCTGCAATTTTAATACCATACAAATTTAATAGAATTTTTATTACTTATAAGCCTCACCTTTTAATAAGAGCTACTATTTACACTTGCACTCAAGTATGAAATAAAGACCTTAAGGTATTTATTTATCAGATTTACGGGTTAAGATCTCAGTAGGAAAAAAAAGAAACAACTTCAAAACACTTTTGGCACGGAGGACTTTTTGCTTAAACCCAAATCTCACCTGAGTTAATTTCTGCTCCTTTGTTTCCACCTCACTCATCACAAAGAAAAGTCTCCTTTCAGAAACACTTCAGAGCAAAAGCAAGGGGAATATCTTCACTTTTTAAAGACCCATGCTATGGGCTCTTGCCGGCCTACGTAGTTATGGGTAGCTCTCACCGCGAGGATGCGCGCAGCTCTACTGAAGACAACTTCCCGAGTTATGCCCTTACCTGATGTCTTGCTTGAAGAAGGCACTGAAGGGATAAGGAACAGAGCTTTTCCTCTCCCAAAGTTAACTGGTCTCTACAGGGACTATCTCTGACTTTATCACCATGGACTCCGGTGGGCCACTGACAGTAGCCAAAATGAGTGGAATTCTGCCAACTCCCGCTTCCACAGCTCATTGGGACACACGCTCTTCAGCCCATAGCGCATGAGGTGGCGCGGGGTGGCTTCCGCCCACCCGCGAAAAGTGCAATGACCCCCTAGCTCCTCAGCCTTTTAAATCTTGTGAACCCCGAGCACAGAGAATCTGTTTGTTTTCAAGACTGAGATTCTTCCCTTCAATCAGATAAGTGCCTGAGTTAGGACAAATGGCCACAATCTCTCCATCTAAATAAGACGACTTCTCAACCAGGGCTCTCTGGGGTTCATCAGAGAGACAAGCTGATAAAGTCCACAAAGAAATCCAAAACACGACCCAAGCAGGCCCTTCCCTCTTCTGATAATTGTGATATTCTTCCTTTGGAATGCCCTGGGAAGAATTTTTCTCCTACCTAAGAGTACTATTATGACTCTCTTAAGATGTCTTAAAGTAGTCTACCCAAGGACATAAGCTGTACCATTTTGTTACTGTTCAAGTGATTAGTTCCTATAAATCATTATACATACTATTTTAAGCTACGCAAATGGAAAATCAGGCACACCTCATGGCTGACAGGATGCACAACTGTGACATAATACACTTCAAATACAGAATAAAACAAGACTTCCATGGAATCAAACTGAGGGCTAGAAGCTCTCTGGAAGGAGCAGGGAGGAAGCAGGCAGGGTAGACCTTCTGGGAACGGCAATGTTAACGTTAAGTATTTGGGAAAAAGGTGGCTCAAAGTCACACCCTGGGCTAACGTTCAGTGAGGACAGGCCCCTGGAGCACAAGTTGCTTGCTTTCCTAATTTAATATCTTTTTTTTTTAATGCTAAAATATCAGATAAGAGCCTACCTGACATTTTGGAGAATTTGCTGTGCTGGGATTGATATTCCGCATTGCCTAAGAGTAAAAAATAAGATGGATAAAAATTACTTTAAGCCACATGGTTTGGCTGTGTAGGCTGACTTACAAATTTCACCCAGACATATCACCATAGCACAGAACTCCCGAGCCAGCCCAAGGAGCAGCAGACCAAGGGAGTCACCGCACGACAGACTGAAACCTCAGGAGTACGGAACAGCATTGAGGACAGGACAGCAGGCTTTAGGTGTCAGGACTCAAACAAAATCGGATATTGATCAGGGAGGTTCTTTGCTTCTGAGTATTAGAAGAAGCAGGAAAAATGTCGTTCGATGTTCAGTGTAAGAGCAACTAACAAGGGAAGAAATTCACAGGAAGCCAAAGACTTCAGCCTTGCTGAATTTAGACTGACTGCCAAAAAACAAAACCAAAAAAAAAATCCCAATAAACAGACTATTAGTATGAGAACAGAGCAGGTCTTCACTTCAATGTGAGAAAAGACAACACAGTAGGTGGTGAAGAAGAAACAGAGAAGCTGCCTTTGAAGGGAGTTAAGCTGTGTTGTCTAGGACCCATCACCGCGGTGAGAGCGAGAAGGGGACTTAGAGAAACCCTCCAGAAACAGTAACATCGCCCACCAAACAAAACATCACAAAACAACAAAACAAACAAGTATCCCAGGCTGACCTATGGCATGTAACAAAATGATGGGGATATTAACAATTAATTATTCTTCGTAAGATTTCTTGGTTTTGATAGTTTTCAACTCCTATGTGAAACTGAGACTTGTATGTTCTTAGGCCATCTAGTGATCAGTAACAAAGGGAACAGCAAGCACCGAAAACAGGCTCTTAAGCTGCTTTATTTCTTCTAACAGCTACATAATTATATTCTTGATGGCACACTACCTTGTTCTGATGATAAAGTTTTACTAAATGAAAATTACCTTTCCTTTACAGTCATTGTTAGAAAGTCAGAGGTACAATCAACTGTGTTAACATGCTTCCTTTCTCCACCTTCTTAATGGCAGATAAAGAAACCCGTCTTTCAAGACCGCTCCCTGACATCGAACACCGGACCAAGCGCTCCCTCGCATCCGGACTCGCTGGGGGTGCCCGGCACAGCAGGATGACACTGACGGACGGCTGACAGCACAAACCAGTTAGAGGTGAGTCTGCCTGGGACCTCCAGGGCCGAGTCCCCTTCCCGCGGGCCCAGTTTCTCAACTCCCACGTCAGAGTCCGGGGACGGCACCGTGTCTGTGCACGTCCAGCGACACTCCGGGGATGCGGCCTGCATCGCTGACGTGCCTGATTCAAGGTCCTGCACCCTGCCACCAGAATCGTGGGGTGTCACGATGTTTTATTCTCTACACTTGGGAGGCTACAATTGAGTGGGAAAATAGTAGATACATGTGTTTCGTGGACAGAAAGAATGTCAGTGAACAATGAAAATGAGAAGCTGACCATTCGGGACACCCTGAGGAGAGGACTCAGGACACGGAGAAGGTTCTGTCTTCACGCACCTTCACCTTCTGCCCACTTTCAAAATCGCACTGTTCTATTGTCAAAACAATTTATATGAAAATTAAAACATCTGTACTGCTCTGGTAAGACTGCATCCCCAAGTCCCCGTCTCAGACCTCACCTCTGGAAGCCCCCGATTCTGACAGGGGGTTGCCTCCTCTCCCGGCAGGGGAGCCCCACAGCACGTCCTGAGAGAAGACCCATGGAAATGTCAGTCCTACCCGGCCCCACCTGGAGGGACATTCAGAGCAGGTAATTTTAAGGCACTATGGGATCTTCTAAACTTGGGGTCACTTGTATTCTGTTTTCAATAAAACATCTTGGATTCAGCGATGCTGACAGCTATCTGCTCGTTTGAGGCTGTGATCCCCCAGACAGGTTTCCGGGCCGTCCCAGGGCTCCCCCGCGTGAAGCCTCGGCGTCCAGTCACCCACAGCTCTGCGCTGGCTCCGCGGGCCCAGGCTGAGCCCGTCTGCGACGTGGTGGCCCGTCGGGGGACAAGGACCCAACTGGAGACAGTGTGTCTGGGGGCTCCAGAGGTAAAGGGTCAGCGCCCCTCTGGAGCGCTGGAGGGCAGCGCCGGAGCCGCACGCAGGAAGCACACCGCGAAGAGCACAAGGCTGGCCTCTGACCTGGGGTCTCACCTGGCGGAGCAGCTCCTGCTGTTTCAGGCGCAGCCGCTCCTTCTCCATCTGCAGCTGCTGCAGGCGCATCTGCTGCTGCTGGCTGGAGCCGCCGCTGCCCAGGACGCCCCCCGGAGGGCTCTGCGGGGCCAGTGGCGGGGGCTGCTTCACCGGGGCACTCTGGCTGACTCTCTGGTTCATGGCTGCAAGGAGACAAAGCATCTCTCCTAAGAAACCGGTAGCAAAGGAAAAGGGTCTTTCAAAAGCAACCAGGGATATTCAACGCAGGAAGACTGGAAATAACCTGAAACCCGTCACCAGGACAATGCTGGTGCTAACTTGTGGTTACTGCTGATGGCCGGTGTGCCTACAAGATGCAAGAGACAAGATGGAGCTCTCGTCTGCCACGGTCCTGAACGGCTGAAGACGTATTCAGTTAAAAGCCAAGTGTGGGAGAGAAAGTATAAAAAAAAGGAAGGAGCAAATACATATTCCACGCATATCCAGAAAACAGGAAGTGACGGACGGCCCAGAAGCAACTAACATCTGTTAGCTCTGGAGCTGGGACACTCCATGACACAAGGACGGACTTGCAGAGATATTTTTTGGTAACTTCTGACATCTGAACGATGTGAACACATTGTTTATTACAAAATATATACACAGATTTAATTAAAGATACACCTTCCAAAGCAAATGACACAAAGCATTCTGAGCAGTAAAGCCCATTAAAACGATCAATCCTTAATATGCTCTAAAACACACACACAACCTCTACTGAAGCAAGGAGACGGCAACGATGAGATGCATGCTCCTGATCATGGGGCCTACGAGCATCGGTCTCATCGAACCCCACGGTCGCCTCACGCAGCCCAGGCAGTCAGCACTGTCACTGTGGTGGGACCTGTAACACCACGTGACAATCATCAGTGGACAGTGGACGGATTCTCCGACCGGTTTCTGTCACTGATACGACGCTGATCAAACCGTGGACCGCGGCAGCCTCCCCAAGCAGATGGAAGTATTATTATGGGAAAATGGCAATGACCTACCACCTTTCAGACACATATTCAACTGTTTAAGGTGAAATCTGGGGTCCCTGCTTCTACTAAGTGTTTAAATACACACCGACCAAGAAAACCTCAGGCCCTAACAACTTCACAAATGCTGGAGGAAGAATACCAGTCTCCTGCAACCTTTTCTAGAGAAGAGTTTTGAGGAGGCCAACATAATCCCAACACCAGGACATGAGAAGAGAGGAAAATGACACACCAGTCTCTCTCAGGACGCTCGCTACCAAACGTCTGTGACTTCCTGGGGTCCCAGGCACATGCCCCACCCCCTCGTGAGGGTTTCTCACGTGTCCGCGCTGTGCCACGAAGACCACCGGGGAAAGGCCAAGAACACAGGAACAGACCGCCCAGCCTTTCCCAGGGCCTACGATGCACGTCAAGAACCCCTCCCCTCACGATACCGCCACAGGGGCGGGCAGAGGATCCTGGTCACGGGCACGTTCTCAGGCCAAGCACAGTGCTGGGCACAAAGCTGGTGCTGAACACACCGAGTGTTCACAGAGGCAGAAACTTAACTGTCTGAGATACGACAATCTATAAATGCTATCACCAAAGTCCCCGAAGACTGGCCACCTCTGCCGAGACGCCAGCACCACACGGACACAGAACCGAAGACGTTACAAGACCACACCCGCTCCTTCGTTCAGTCCGGCCTCCGGAGTCCCTCGTGGGCTTGCGCGGAGGGCACTCACCGCCCTGTCCTACTTCCTGCTCCTGCTGTCTTCGCCCTCCAGGCTTTCTGTGTTTCTTTTTCTAACTTCTTGACTTGAAGTTGTTTAGTTTAAATCTTTTCTTGAAGCATTTAAAATCAATTAAACTTACCTTTAAGTAATGCTTTTCATGAGTCCTACATTTGAAAGTGTAATTCATGATTGTTCTCTTCCAAGTATCTGTAGTTTCTGCTATGATTTCCATTTAACTCATGAGCTACTTAGTACATTGTTATGCTTCCAAACATGTTTTAAAGTTTCAAAATAATTTCCATAAACATATAGAGAAGTAGGAAAAACTTGGACAATAAACCCTCACATGCTTGTCATGCAGCTTTCGTCAATATACAGAGACAATTCTGTTTCACCTCTATCCTCACCCACCATCTCCCGGATCATTGTCAAGCAAACATTATTTCAGTATATGTGCTGCCGAAGCGAGCACAAGCAAACGTTATTTCACCCCTAAATAACTTCAGTATGTATCATTCGGGGTTTTTACTTAGGTTTTCTGATCTTATCAGTATTTTCTCTCTTCTGCTGAGAAGTGTGGTTCTAATAACATTAATATGTATTACCCCCTACACGTATGCAGTTATTTCAAATAACACGAGTGCTGAACTTACGCTCAACAAAACGATGATGGGAAAGTTTCTGATTTCTTTATCATTGTTGGTCCTTAAGATATCTCACTGGGAGCATACTGTCAAATTGCTGTGGTTAAGTCACCAGAGATAATCCCTCTCCACGCGACTCGGCCCCCAACTCACTATATCAAGGTTCACTGGTGACGCTGTGCTTGCCAACTTTAGAGACTCACTTTACTTTCCACCCACCAGTGCCCCTCAAATGGTACTCTGTGCATTTTAAAAATCCAAGCAAAGACACGCAGACTTCTTAGGTCTATGGTAGAACATCCACGCTCTGACTGCTTTACTCAATTCCCCCTTTTCTCACTTAGTAACATATCCTTGGCATCACTCCAAAGCAGAGTATAGAGGTTTTCTCTCATTTTCTTTTGAAAATAGCCAATTAGGAGTCCATTCAACCAATTTCCTATTAGGTTTTCACTATTCAGAATAAGCTCAGACACACATTATTTTGTCTTTCTGTTATTGTATCTTGGGGCAGAGTCCTAGTGGGGAGAGACGGCCAAGTTAAGGGTCAAAAACAAGTGATCTTGCCAAACCCCCCTTCTTCCTCTCAGCCCACGGATGTACTCCCTTGCAGCCTTACCAGGAACGTATAAGGGAGTCTGTTTTTCCTCTCAAATCCTTGCCAAACTTTTGGATTTTTGCCAATCTGAAAGATGAGAAATGGTTTGTGTGACTTCACTTTTGCTATTTTTTATCACCAAAGTTGGATCAATTTCCCTATTTTAAGGGCCACGTGTATTTTTTACATCAATTGTGTTCCTATCTTTTCTAATGGGGTTATTAGTCTTCACATTCTCTAGACCATCTTTATAGACTAGGGGTAGACAAGTGTGGTCATATATAAGCCAGAAATAATTTCCCTGTTTACCATCTGTCTCTTTAGTTTGTTTGTTTTTTTTACATGTAAGTTTATTTTTTAAGCAGTTAAATTTATCAATCTTTTTTAAATCTGAGCTGTTTCCCCATGCCCGGATGGCAAAGGAATTCATCAACCTTTTAATTCAAGAACTATATGCTTCCTTTTTATATACTTATTTGGCAATTCAATCCAATCCATTTGGAATTTATCTTGGAACGTGGTGTGAACTAATCAAATTTTATTTTTTTGTGCCTATTAGTCCCAACACCACTCATGTGAAGTATATCCTTCCCCCAGAAACACCTTTATCACAGACTAAACTGCTATATGTTGTTGTTCTGGATTTTCTATTCTGTTCATTAATCTTACACTACGTACTACAGTTTTAATCACAACATTAATGATATGTGTTAGTACCCAATAGGGCAAACCACAGTTTTTTTTGAACCTAACTATTTATTGGGATCTAATTTAACTGCACTGTGGTTAAAAGAACAAGGTCTGTGCATCGATTCCTGAAATCTGTGACTTGACACATGGTCAAACCCTTGCTTTGTGGCACCAGGGCCTGTTTCTCTCTTATCTCCCTTGTTCCTAACACTTTGAGTTCCTGATATCCTCAGGAGCGGAGGTCTCTAAATCTGGCAGGCCCCTAGCCCTGCCTGCCCTTGCTCACTGTGTAGTATGTGGGTTTTATTTTCTGACCCACGGAGGTTGTTTGTTAAAAGTCATGACCCCAGTTATGTCTTTTTGGTTATCTGCTTTTAGTATTTTGTCTGGTAGAGCAGAGAAAGGATGCCAAAACAGGACTTGCTGCCCTACATTGTTCTAAAACCTTATTAGTCTCTTAGAAGGCCCCATGAAAATCATATGTATTTATGATCTGTCTTGACAAAGAATAAATGGCTTAAACTTTCATAATCATGGTTTGTAGTTTAGTATTTTGTAGGGGAATGGACAGGGAAAAAGCCAAAAATTTTAAGAGCTAAGATTTGCCAGGCACCAACCAACCATCTCATTTAATACAACTGCTTTCATCTCCTTACCACCAGCACGAGATGCACAACTGACGGACATCATCATGGTCTTTACAGTCAAACCAACCACAACCAGAGTCAGACACAATCCAGTAACTCATCCAATACTCAGCTTCTTCAACTGTCTCTGGGGGTATTCCTACATCCCTTTTGCAGACACTGTGGGGATTAGTATATGTAAAGTCCCCATTTTAGCCTAGACAACAGGAGATGCACCAAACATGTTACTTTGCTCCCTTCACCAGGGCAACTCCTTCTCAACTTTAAGACTCTGACTGCTACAGATAGTCATTCTGTCCTCTGCCTTCTCCCACTTTACCAGGCCACGTGCATTTCTAAGCATACTACGATTCACAAGAGATGTGCATATTTATCTTTCCAATAAAATCTAAGTGGAAAAAAATGGGTAGTGGAGATGAAGCCTCAAGTGAGCCCCCAAGGCATCCTCCCCTTTTGCTGAAACATGTTCCTGGCATTCCAGCACAACCCTCGATATGCGTCCCCAGGAGATGTCTTATCCATCGTGCTAGGTCAGTTTTGATAATATGAGTTCAATACGAACTGGGGGGCTGATCTGAGAATCCATCACATGCAGTGAACACCTTATAAATTGCAACCTAGAACAAACAGCTATTGGGGAAAATATGTTTTCAGTTCCAAGCAATTACAGAAATTAATTTTAAAAAGAAACTGCTAGGAAACAGCCCATTAGTAAGTTGAGGAGTATTGGACTATGAAACTTGATTAACTGCAAAATAGATTCTAGAGCTATACAGTGTTACATATTTCATCTATTAAGAAACATCTGAAAAGCTTTTGAGCTTTCCACTTGGATTTTTATTCAGTAATAGAACATATAAAGGTTAAT